CACACACACACACACACACACACACACACACACACTCACACTCACACACACTTCTGCCTAGCCTTTATTGTTTGACTTGGTCTCTTTTGACACTTGATGTTTATATAAAGTCAACTCTAGTTAAGTGACTTAGATCTCAATGTCAGAGATGACTCAGTCAAATTGCATACAGTCAAATTCTAGACCTGCTTGCTATAGGGGACCTGAAGAGGTCCCCTGGTCACACATTCTCAAAGGTGATAATCTTGAACATTTTATGACCATATCCAAAAGGTTTGCTCCATATATAGTGCTTGGAGAGGATGCTTTTGTACTTCCAACTTTTCTAAAATAAGATTTATTCTGTTGGAGGTATTAAATGTCAGGACATCTCTATTTAATTCCACCACATCTACTTTGGGCTGTTTGTTTGCCTTTTTTCCACCTGTCCTCCACCTGGACCCTCTGTTATCCTCACCCCATGGTTCCCACCAGTTTCTCTGAAGAAAGTTGGAGACCACAGCAATTCACCCCAGGCATTGTGAGTGTGAGGCTTATTGCATGGAACTCTCTCTCCCCAGTGCACGCTAATGAACGTCTCTTTGCAGGCATTTTCGGTGTCTTCTCTTCATGACCATGATCTTCATTAGGCTGCTGGGTTATGTATTTTTCTATCTACAGTACATAAACCCAGATCTTCTTGTGGACACCCTGCCCATGGTAATGAGCAGGGGCACCTTGAAGATGCTGAGGGACTCCCTTTATCCCTCCCTCACTCTGGAGGTGAAGGAAGTTCTGCCACACTAATCTGAGGTGGCTTGGGATCTACACACCATCCAAGAGTGGAGGGGCATGGTTGTGCCACAGGTGGGGGATGGGTCAAGAAGGAAGCAGAGTCTTCAGCTTAGCTGTTACTTTGATTTCTTCTTCATTTCATTCTCTTTCCTTGTTTTCCCTCTGGAAATAAAACATATGTTTGACCAGAGTTCATTGTTTTGGTATGAATTTGGTCTGTGAGTTTTAAAATCCAGATAGATGAGGAGGCTCAGCTATGAGGCACTCACAAGTTTCTGCCTGTGCAGATGAGAATGGTGGTGGTGGTGGTTATGTGCCGTGGAGTTGGTTCCTACTCACAACGACCCTGTAGTAGGGTTTCCGAGGTTGTAAATCTTCATGGGAGCAGAAAGCCTCATCTTTCTCCCACAGAACAGCTGATAGTTCAGAACTGCTGACCTTGAGGTTCGCAGCCTGACTCGTAACCACTACGCTCTCAGAGCTCCTTCTGATGAGAATAGCCGTGAGGTACTAAGAATGGTTTGTACTCATTTCCTACAGTTGCTACAATAAAATCTCACAAGTTTGGTGGTTTTAAACAACAGAATTGTTTTGTCTCGCAGTACTATACACTAGAATCCAAAATCAGTATGTTGGGCAGGTTATGTTCTTTTCAAATACTCCAGGGAATCATTCTTTCTGGTCTTTCCTGGCTTCTGGTAGCTCCAGGCATTCCTCTTCACATGATCTTTCTGTCTATCTCTGTGCATCTGCTCCTTTATAAGGACAGTGGTTATGGAGTAGTAGAGCCCACCCCACTCCAGTACGACCTCATGTTACCTTCAAAGACCCTATTTCCAAACAAGGTGACATTCATATGTAGCAGTGGTTAGGACATCTTCTGGGGGAGACTAATTCAACCCATACCATGACACAAGGACTCCAATCTTTTCCATGTTACAGGAGAAAAAGAAACATGTATGTGTTCATTGTTAGAGCCTTTAGTTACCCTATAGGGCCACGAGGGGCATTCAAGAAGGAATCACTCAGGTGAACATAAGGCTTGTTCCTTTCTACTGCTTTCATAACATCATGCCTCCTACTGGTCTTACCTTATAGTATGCTCTGGCTTGAAAAGCTAACCATTTTTATATACACAGGTGGTTACTTATACTCAATCACAAAGAAGCTCAATTACCCTAAAATTCAATTGCCATGTAAACGACAGTGTGTGAAATGAGAAAGTGCTTTAGATTTAGCCAAACATCATTTTGGGCCCTACATATTATTTAAATCCCAATTCAAATTGCTTCCCTTCTCAAATGTCTGCCTTAATCCTTCCCCGGGAGACAGTCCCTGTCTGCTGCCTCTGACTGCCTCTAAACAGCACCCTCTCTGGACTTTCCTGTCTGCCATGTTTGCTCTGCCTCACAATGTCATCACTGTGGTTCTTGGCTGCAGGGCCTATACCCACTTCTCTATCATTCCACATGGCTCCCCAGCACAGTGCCTTCAGGAAACATTTAGTAAAAGAGAAAATAATTTCTTGGAAAGGTTCTACTTCTTTTCAGAGTATCTGGAAAGTGAAAAATTGGGACAACGAGTCTAGAACAACCTGTACTGTGAAATCTTCCACTGTGGCTACAGTCAGCTGGACATGCTGGTGCCATGGGGATGGAGGTAGAAGGATGACACAAGGCACTACGCCATCTGGTTAGCTGGTGGTGTTTACAGGTTTGTGAAGTGAAGTGGAGGTACCCTATGCATTCTTCAGACTTCTGCTTTCTAGTGACCTTTTTCCTTTCAAGACAGCTCCTGGTATTGGTTTTAACTGAATTTAATATGAATAACACTGTCAGGTGACAAGGACATGCTGTATATTTGCTGTGGCCCCAGATATGATCCTGTCTCATGTTTTATTTCTAGAAGCAAAGGCTCCTGTCAAGTGGAGCCTAACTCATAGCAACCCAACAGAACACAGGAGAACTGTGGGTTACCAAGGCTGTAAGACTTCAGAAACAGTGTCACATCTTTCTTCAGAGGAGTAATTGTGGGTACGAACAGCAGAATTCACTAAGGCTTCTGTCTCAGACAGGCTCCTAAGAGAGTCAGAAAACTGATCAACACTACCCTCTTGTGGCCAGATGAAAGCTCTTTGCTGGCTTCACTCAAAAGGCTGTGAAGCAGGCAGGATGGACCAGATGTCACTTCTGTGCAATTTCCACTTTGAGCTTTGTTGTTGTTGTTAAATGCTGCTGTGTTGGTTCCGACTCATAGCGACCCTGTATAGGGTTTCCAAGGAGAGGCTGGTGGGTTTGAACCATTGACCTTGTGGTCAGATCATGCACTGCAGTCCAGTGCATTATCCTGCAGCGCCACACCAGGACTCTCAGTGAGCTTTAGAAAGTTCAATTAATCTTTTATTCACTCAACAAAATTTGTATTTTGAGCACCTTCTTTGAGCCAGGCAGTGTTCTGGGTGCTGAGATATTGTTTATCTCTACCCAGGTTCTAGTAGCTAAAGATAAATAATAAATAACCCATTGAAATAGATATCAGATGATGTTAAGTGACATAAAGCAGTAAGACAGAAAGGGAGGGAGGGATTGTTGAGGAGAAGCAGTTGTAATATTCCTGAGAAGGTGACATTACAACAATGACCTGAATGAGACAAAGGACCATGTGGGACAGTCTGTAGGGTGGATATGCCTGGTGCACCTGAGGGAGGTTCTTTTTCCAATTCTCGGTTCACACATCGTCTCTTCATAAAAGTCTCTTCATCTGAGCAATCTGAGTTAGATTCTGTCTCCTCCAAGAACCCTGATTCACAGATGTTCACTGGTTAGAACATTCCTTAAGTAAAAGGTTTTCATGATTTAAGTGTCCGACTGTAGGAGTCCTGGTGTGGTGCTATGGGTTATTGTGCTGGACTACAAGGTCAGTTTGAACTGCAAGGTCTGCGGTTCAAGCTCACCAGCTACTCCTCAGAAATCCTATATAGGGTCACTATGGGTCTGAACTGACTCAACAGCACTTAACAACAACAACAACAACAATAATGGGCTGCAACTGGCCAAGGAGTACATAAACATCATTTTCTGACTCACAACTTCTAACACATAGTCCCTCATAAACTTGTAAATCTCCGAGGTGCTCCACCACCCAGTCCTTACCAAGGACACATTTACAGACACACATGTGTTCATGTCAACAATCAAGACTGGCTAAGAAATGTCACTTTAGGGAAATATGGACAGGTTAGTACCTTACTCACAGTCGGTGACCCAGTGTGGGTGGTGGAGCCTTGAACCTGTGTTGGAAATACAAGTTTCAGAAGCCTGCCTTTCAGTAGGACACTGGTTCCAGAATGATTTGGTTGGCATTGCCAAGTTTTAGAAGGAAAAGAGGGGTTAATACTGTTATTAAAAAAAGCAGTGTTGGTCTAGATCTATTTTAATAACAAGGAGTTCACCATCCCCCCAAATAGACATCAATTTATTAAAGATTTTAATAAAATAAAGTGCCTAGCACAACAAGGGGCATATGATGGGCATTCAACTAACACTGGTTTCCTTTGTCTTATATTAAATTAATCTTAGTTCTGTCCTATAAAGCAACACAGGAAAATGGCTGCCTCCTTCATATTTTAGTCACTAAAATTGAAAAGACCTTCTGTTCTCCAAGATGAACATTCCCAAACACTTTCATGAGCTCTCACAAGTGAAGTGCTAGATCTTGTATTATCTTGGGTACTCTTCTCAGACATCAAACTGACAAAGTACAATAACCCTATTTCCTATTATTCTGAACACTATGTGTTTATTTATGTGGCCTAAGATTTCATTAGCCATTTTGGCAGCTGAATCACCCAGATATATACACCGATGAGCTTGGAGTCTATCAAGATTTATAACCCTTTTGTTTTCGAATTATTCTTATTCTACAGCTCATCTGTTTTGTATTTGTGCAGATTTAAAAAATACTAAACCCAGGACTTTCCACTTGCTCTGTTAAATTTCACTTTGTGGGTTTGCATTCATTTTAGTCTGTTGCAATCTTTCAAAAACACCAATTGTACTAAGGAAATAGTGTCTGAGCTTGAGATCTGCTAAACTCAAAGAGAGGCTTTGGTGTGGAAGCCCCTTGCAATAATTGTGTGACCTCGGGCAGCTTGTTAACTCTTCCTTTAAAGTGGTTAATAATGCTGTTTGTTCCCCCAAGAAGAGTGTGGCAATTATACTGAATTCTGAAATAGAATTTCTTTTGGTCTGCAGGCTTGAATTCAATTAAATGGATTAGGTACTCTCTATCTTCTCCCTTATGTTAAAACCTAATTACTTGTTAACTACCTATTTTTGAACTATCCCTTTTATCTACTGAAGATCAATTTCCTTGATAGGGAAGATGGTCTGAAATAGAACTCTTATCTACTAACATTATACCTTATGCCCTAGGGAGTGGCCTACCCCTTTCATTTCTTCTTGACCCAACTAACATTAAAAGTGCTACTAAAAAGTTGCACTTATAATATTTTCTGTTACGTTCCTGTGTTGTCCTGGTGGCATAGTAAGGTAAGCACTAGACTATTAATCACAAGGTTGGAAGTTCAAAACCATCTGCTCTAAGGGAGAAAGATGAGCCTTTCTACTCCAATAAAGGTCTGCAACCCCAGAAACCCTATGCAGGAACCCTATGAGTCAGAATTGAATCAATAGCAGCAGGTGGTTTCTGTTGTCTTGAAAATAACAAGGCTTTAACCTTTGGATCTTGGTCTTGGCTCTTTTGTGACTTGCCTGATTTTTTTTTTTTTTTTTTTGCAAGCCATGCCTCTCTCTGGGCCTGAGGTTTATTTCTGAGTGATTTCTAATATCATTTCTTGTGACATTCTTTGACTCTATAACTCGTCCATGAGGTCTTTCTGTGAATTAGAACAATCCTCTTTTTAACCTTATCCAAGTCCGTCAGACCCCCAGCCCTCCCAGCAATCTACCTCTAGGGACCTACCACCATCAAGAAAGAGGCAGGAACAGGAC